TGAAACATAATACAGAAGAACATTTTGGGAAAATGAAGTGTAAGATGCAATTTAGTAATAGCCCTGCTGGCAAGTGTGTGCAAAGGGGAAATTTGAGAGCAAACAATCATAAATATGGAAGAAATGTATTTGATTTAATCAGCTGCCTGGAATCTATCAGGCTCAAGTCTTGCCCCATTCACTTTTGAAATATGAAGCATTTTTGATTTGCTGTACATTGCTGGAAGTGCAAAAGATTTGTCTTAATCTCATTCTCTTGTTTCTAGTCTCTGACTGATCTTGATGATGATTTGGATAACTTGGAGTTGGAAGACATAGACACTTCAGACGTTAACTTGGATGAAGAATTCCTGGATGATTAAATTGAAAACCAAGTATATTTAAACGTGACCAAATTTCTATTAAACGAGTGAATATTCAACATTTGCTTTTAGAAGGATATTGCAATTTATTACAACTTTGGACAGTTCTAAAATGGTAGAGCTGATTGTCACTGTCTTGCTGCCCATTCTGAAATGCATTTTGCACCACACAACAACAGGTGGCACTGTTGTCAAACCAGCAGATCAGAATGCATGGCTGCCACTGACATACCTGTAAAGTAAGTAGTGGAGTTAGTGCTTCATAACTGCATATAAGTTTGTATTGTTGTGCTGTATTAACTCTAAATAAAACTAATTACATTTTTCATGGGACTCTGGCACGTGTGGCTCACCCCCTTTAATGGAACACTAATCCCAAAAGTTGATTGTTGATGCAGAATGAGTTGAAATTCCCTGATTAACTCATTTCTCATGCAGAAGATGGGTATTGCATTTGAACTTGGAAAAGAAGTTGACTATATTAATTTTAACATTAAAACCAAATTGCATCTCCAATAAGTGAAGACTTATTTTATTACAAATGTAGTGAAAAATAAAATTGGACCATTAAATTATTGCTATAAGAAGTTCCTCTTAAGAAAAACAATCAGTGTTTGAGGACAATTGTTTGCTCTTACACTGATTTTATTACAATGTCAACGGTACTACTGATCAAAAGCACTGAAAATGGTTAATGTGTAGCCTATGTTTTCTTGGGTGATTTCAATTTTAATCTCTCCCACTCCATCTACAGACAGCATACTCTCATATTTCAACATGTGAATTATTGTTCAAAGCAAACATTTTGAAATCACTTCAATAATGAGTGTTTCCAGATGGAGGCAATCCAAAGAATAGATATTAAAAATGAAAGGGAATGTACCAACCTCTTCTTTTTACCTATTCCATATTTCCTGGGTGATTAATTTATGGTATAACTATACAATGAAATGCCACATTTCACTACAGGACTAGCTTGCTCTTGCTTTAGCAAAAATCCATTTGGCCAGCATGTTAACACTTGTTACAATTAGGTTTCAAAAATATTGTATATTTGTCGAGAGCTTGACAAGTTTGGGCTTCATTGTGATCTCACCCGTAGTCACACAACACGATGATTCAGTTGAAACTTAGACCGTCTGTGGAACCATTCTCCAGTGCTAAATGCGTCCTCCTTGTAGAAGTCTAATGGCCCAACCTGCTCATATTCCAGTTTTTTAAAGCATTAGAACACCTGTAATATTTCAATACTTTAAAGAAAATATTTTCTTTTCCCCAAAAATAAGTGGAATAGAAATGATAAACGTTCAGTTACTCCACGTTCCTAGCAAGCTGAATTCAGAACTCTTGCATTAGACAGATTGATTGATTTTAATTTCCTTCTTCATTCCGACATGGATCTTGGTTAGCAGAGCTGTTCAGCGTGTCCTGGTAAACTTGCAAAGCTAATTCAATGTAGCCTCCTTTCTGGGAATCCGTATGGGAAAATATCTAGAAAAAGAAACATTTTGAAGTTTAGCTTCAATAATTTATTTGGCACGGTTTCATCTTTCTACGATTATCTGATAAATGTTAAACACAACAGGTCATGTTTGAGATTTTGCAAATACTTAAGAGTAAGATGAAATAGCTCTTTCCATAAAGAGTCGGCTTTAATTGCAAAATAATATCCAGAAAGGGTGTTTATTAATTTCAAGGACTTGGTTTTTCATCTACTGACCAAGTTATGCAAAGTTCCAGTACTTTGTTTTTCAGTTTGGATTCTGCCAGGACCACTCAGCTCCTGACCTCATTACAGCCTTGGTTCAACATGGACAAAGAGCTGAATTCCAGAAATGAGATGAAAATGACATAGAGGCTACATTCAACTGAGTGTGGCATCAAGGAGCCTTAGCAAAACTGGTATCCGGCAAACCCTCTGCTGGTTGGAGTCATGTTGCACAATGATTAGCACCATTCATGACTCTTCAGATACTGAAGCAGTCCAAAACCTCAAATGCAACAAGATCTGGACAGTATCCAGGCTTGGGCTGACGAGTGGCAAGTAACATTCGTGCCACCCAAATGCCAAGAAATTACCATCTCCAATAAGACAATCTAATCACCGACCCTTGACATTCAATGGTGCTACCATTACTGAATCCCCTACTATCAACATCCTTGGGGTTATTACTGACCAGAAACTCAACTGGATTCGTCACGTAAACACTGGCTTCAACAGCAGATCAGAGGCTAGGAATAGTGTGGCGAGTAACTCACCACCTGACTCCCCAAAGCCTGTCCACCCATCTACAAGGTACAAGTCAGGAGTGTGATGGAATACTCCTCAATTGCCTGGGTGCATACAACTCCAAAACACGCCAGAAGCTTGACACCATCCAAGACAAAGCAGCCTGCTCGATTAGCACCACATTCACAAGCATCCACTCCCTCACAGCAATGTGTACTATCTACAAGATGCACTGCAGGAATTCACCAAAGATCCTTGGATAACACCTTCCAAATCCACGACCCTTACCATCTGGAAGGACAAGGGCAGCAGATACATGGAACATTACACCTGCAAGTTCCCTTCTGAGCCACTCACCATTCTGACTTGGAACTATCACTGTTCCTTCACTGTTGTTGGGTCAAAATCCTGGAATTCCCTTGTATATAGCATTGTGAATCTACCTACAGCCATGGACTGCAGTGGGTTCAAGAAGGCAGTTCACTGCCATCTTCTCGAGGACAACTAGGAATGGGCAATGAATGCTGGGCAGCCAGTGATTCCCATGTCCAACAAGTGAATTAAAAAAAAGATAAACTGTTACTGCAATTATTTTATATTTTAAAAACTCTGATTTCAAGTTAGTGTTGCACTTAGAATTTTTGAAAGGTAAACATGTAAAAAGGATTTGCATGCTAATTTTGCTATTTTCTACTTTCCCTGACTATTCGGAGCTCCACAAATAACCTGTCTAATTTGAAGTAATTGGGCCTATCATGAATTGGGTCAGCTACCAGATTTACAGAAGACACAAAAATAGATGGGAAGCCAGGTTGTGAGAGGGAAACAATCTGTTTAGAGAGATATTTATAAGTTAAGTAAGTAGTCAAAAAGTTAGCAAATGGATCATAATATAGGAAAATGTGACATTGTTCATTTTGGATGGGAGAACAAAACAACAGATGATTTAAATGGAGAAAAATTGCAGAAAGCTGCAACACAAAGGGACTTGGGAGTACTTATACATGAAACACGGAAAGCTAGCACATAGGTGCAGCAGGTATCAGCAAGGCTAATGGAATATTATCTCTATTTTCAAGGAGGTTGGAGTCGAAGAGTAAGGAAGTCTTACTGCAACTGTACAAGTTGCTAGAGCGGTTTTGGTCCCTTATTTGAAGAAAGATATCGTTTTATAGGAGGAGTTAAGAGGTTCACTAGGATGATCCCTGGTATGGAGGAATTGTCTTATGAGCAAAGGCCAAACAGATTAGGACTGTCACCGGAGTTTAGAGCGGTAATCTCATGGAAACCTATAGGATTCTTAAGCACCTTGACAGGTTAAATGCTGAGATGTTTCCCCTCATGTGAGAGTCTAGGACCAGAGGGCATTGTCTCAGCATGAAGAGGTGCCAATTTCAGACTGTCACAATGAGGAAGTTCTTCTCTCACAAAGGGTTGAGAGTCTTTGTAACTCATTGCCACAAAGAACTATAGGCGTAGAGGGTGAGTCCTCGTGTATATTTAAGGCTGAGATACATAGATTCTTGATCAGTAGGCGAATCAAGCTATGGGCAAAATGCAGGAAAGTGGACGTGAGGAATGTCAGATCAGCCACGATCCTAGTGAATGGCAGAGCAAGCTCGAGAGGCCCAATGGCCTAATCTTGTTCCTATTTCCCATTGTTCTGAAACACTTCAGAGTAATTTCTGAACTCCATTCTTAGAAAATGAACATTAACATCCCCTTCCTGTAACCTAATAATGTGCCTTAAAACCAGCCTGAATGTACTACCTCCTCCATCGCTTTACATTTTGCAGATCTTTGTTTGTGAATTCATTTTTTTTTAGAAACATAGGTCTCTTGATCGCTAAGAAGGAGACGATTTTAATTCCATTCATCTGATGTAAAGATTGCATGTTACACAAATGCCAATATTCTACAATTATAAGCAGGAAATATTTGAAAGCCACATATGCATTCTTAAAGAAAAAATTGTAAACTGCACCTTAATCAGGTCAAGACCCTGGGCTTGCTGTTGGTTTGCCTCCTTTGACGATTGACAGTCTGGGTGTACCATGTGATATAGATGAAGCATGCTTATGGCATCCTCTATTCTGCAAAAAAAAAATTTTTAAATGCTAACTATAAATCAAACGACTAACACACCCAATAGCAAAATCATATAAATTTGGAAGAATAGCAGTTATTGATCAAACATGTTACTAGAAATTAATTTGTTTTCTATCCTTTATTTTCCTCTCCCTTATCCCTGAACAGGTGGTGGTAAAAAATATGTCTAATTTTGCGGTGAATAGTTGTGAGGTTACCCACATTCATTGTTATTATGTTGTAAAGAGATCACAGTTTCCCATATTTGCATATAATCTTTAAAAATTGATACAGAGGTTGTTGTGTGATTTGCCCTGCTCCACCAGTATGTTGTCAAAAGTTAGGCATTAAAACAGAGCAGGAACATCTGTTTACAGAGCCATTAAACTCACCAAAAAGTAGGTTGGGTCTTGTTCATTCACATGTAAGTGAATTTTTAATGCGGTTATAAAGTTTTAGTTGGCATCAAACAAGTTGTCCATATTTGTAAGATTATTTTTTAAGAGAATTTTATCATTGATCAACTTTTTGCCACTCTTTTCTTTCATTATATTGATCGCTGCATGTAAAATTATATTGAATTAAATATTCTAATTTGCATTTCCTGGCTCAGGCTCCTCCTGCGCCTCAGAAAGGATTCTTCAATTGGCTAAAGACATGTTGATGCTTGTGCTGTTCACTTAGGACCCAGATAACAGGAAAATGCAGACTACATAAACTATTTCCACTGAATTAAGGCCAGACCGTTCAAGAGAGATGTGAGGCAACACTTCTACACACAAAGGGTAGCAGAGGTTTGGAACTCTCTTCCACAATTGGCAGTGCAAGCAGTATCAGTTGTTAATTTTATAACTGAGATAGATACATTTTTGTTAAGCAAAAGGTATTAAGGGATATGGGCCAAAGGCAGATATATGGAGTTAGGTCACAGATCCGCCACGATCTCATGGAATGGTGGAACAGGCTCAAGGGGCCGAATGGCCCATTTCTAATCTTATATTTCCCCCCTACTTTATACAGTCAGAGTTTTTACAGCACGGAAAGAAGCCCTTCAGCCCATCATGTCCATGCTGATCATCAAACATCCATCTATTCCAATCCCATTATTCTAGCTCTTGTACCATAGCCTTGTGTGTGATGGTGTTTCAAGTGTTCATGTAAGTAGTTACTAAATACCTGGAGAGTTCCCAACTCCACAACTCTTTTAGGCAATGCGATCTTACTGTGCATACTGGCAGCCACTTGTGACTTGAAAAAGTCCTTCACAAGCCCAACACTCTGGAAATTGTGAAGCAAAAGCCCGTGAACAGTCAATGGGTAGTTGTTAGTCTATTAAATGCTAGTGCTGTAGTTCATTGTTGAGCTCACAATCTTGCCCAGTTTTTTGGGGGGGGGTCGGTTAGCTGAGTTGGCTGGATGGTTGGTTTGCAATGCAGAATGATGCCAATGGGTGTGGGTTCAGTTACCGCTGAGATTCCCAGGAAGAACATTCCTTCTTCACCTCTCCACTCGTCTAAAATGTGGCAACCCTCAGGTTAAACCACCACCAGTCTCTTCCCTCCCTCCCACTCACTCATCAGAAACAGTCCTATAACCCAGTAGGACTACGACAATTTTGTCTTTTTATATTAGTGATTCCTTCAACAAAGACGATGGTCTAATCTTCATGTCAAGAGGTATATTCCTCCCACTAGATGGTGTCAGAGTCAAGTCACATGACACCAGCTTATAGTCCTACGGGTTTATTTGAAATCACAAGCTTTCGTAAATGCTGCCCCTTCGTCAGGTGAATTCACCTGATGAAGGGGCAGCACTTTGAAAACTTGTGGTTTCAAATAAACCTGTAGGACAATAACCTGGTGCTGTTGACTTATGACTTTGTCCATCCTAGTCCAACACCGGCACCTCCACATCCTGACCACTAGATGGTGCTATTGCTTTAAAATCACTGTACCATAAAACTCCTTTAGAGTGGGTAATAAGTGATAATTCATTACCAAAAAAAAACATACATGTTGCTGCACTTTAGTTTCACTAGCCCACATCTATGTATTTTGGCTATAGATTTTGATGAAGGCAAGATAGCTGTTTCTTGTCCTCATTCCCTGTTTAGAGTTTGGATGTGGATGACATTGAAACAGCTTGTAAACACTTGAAAATAAAGTATGTGTGGGGTATCAGAACTAGGAACAGACTTTTAAATTCTTTTCCAAGAACATTATGATGTCACACAGTTCTCAACTGATTGAATTTATGCATTTCAATTGATGCGCCAACCCTCAATTGCCTCGTACAATGCACTAACTTTGATTTAATCCCATATAATTCATTTGTTAAAAGTTAATTAACAAAATTGCTAAACCTACCATTTGCTTAAAATTTTATCCATCTCCATTCATAACAGTTGAACGCGAGATTTAAATGGATCAACACTATGTCACAGTAACAGTAACACAATCAATCAGTAAGTCTCTGCGAAGGGTGGTATGCATTATTGTATAGACAAGGCCTTAAGTTGTATAATTTAAGGAGAAATTGATAGAATCACAGGTAACTGGGCTGCCAGATTTCCAATTTTCTGTCAAAATTTCCAAGAGGTTTTGTGGGATTCAAGATCTCTTTGTTATGAGAATTAATCATTCATACCATTAGACAAAATATTAGATGTTCTGACATGGGGGAGGCAAAGGTGGTGGGAAATGCTAACTATTGAGTCAATTAACTTTCAACCAATGATTACATCTGATTAAATTACTGAATTTAGGCATGGTATGAGTGGATTAAATGGCTGCATTTCATCCCCATATTTCTGTCATCATTATAGTAGATGTAATGTTCTGGGAACAGTACTTAAAACTGTGTCCCCAATATGATACATCAGGGAGATCTTGGGTTAGTCTTTTCACGGGCTATATGATGCATACCATGGAAATCTGTGTGCCACATGTAAAGTTTACATCAATGTTTTAATAGTTCTGTATCTTGAGCTGTTTACACTGAACTTCTCTGCAGAATTCATCCATTAATAATTACTGAAAGAATCCAAAACAGTCTTATTTAAATTCCCCAGCTTAGAATATTCAAACCGGGCAATCCTCCAGAAAAAAAATCTTCAGTTAGCAAAACTTTGTGCACCTGATCATGTCAGGGCTTGTAGCATGTGTTTGGGTCTAAAATTACAGTTTGAATACTTGCTCTGAACTGTGGGAAGGGAAAGCTAAGTTTTTATAAATTGAAACTTCACAAAAGTAATTTCAAGCATTCTATGTAAATCTGCTAGAAATTTTAACTACTTCAGTTTGTACTTACAGATCTCTTTGAATCATATCGATTAGTAAACCATCAATTTTCCTCCTGTTGACCAGGTACCACACCAATCCACCAAAGTGTCTCGTTGAACGCAAAAGATCATACTTGCAATTTTTATCAATATCCTCATATGTTTGGTGGTGGACCTGATAAAGAGAGCCTGGTATTTATATAGCACTACTCACAACTATCAGGTATCTCAAAGCACTTTGCAACCAATAAAGTATTTCTTAAAGTGATAGAGGGTTTGAAAGTTGATTTGTTTCCAAAAGAAATAAGAAATTAATATTTACAAGCAAATTGGCCGAAATATTTGCAGAGCTACAGGAGTTTAGAGCTAAAATTTATACACTATCCAGGCTACAAAATAACTGCAGTTGAACAGATGGTCTGCTCAGAATTAACCAGAAATAGAGTCACTGTGGGTAGGTGAGAACAACCCGAGAGGGCTACACAAACATACACACCCTCCGTCATGGAGGCCAGATAAACAACCTCTATTCCCCTTTCACGGCATCACAAATAATTTTGAGAGGACAGTAATCAAATGTGACTCAACCTCATCGAGTTAAGCAGTAGGCTGGGATACAAAATACAAAATAGGACATCGAGCTGAGACTCTTATAGATACAAGGTGCACACTAATTTCAAGAAGCACACATTTCTTGTGAAGCTACGGTGCATTTATCAAACTGTAGCACTTTAGATTTGCATTGTTATTATCCAGACAGTACTCATTTCATCAAACAACTCTTTTACTTTGATCTGAAATGTACTCACCCTAATGTAATCAGCAGAATTTGGCTCAAATTGGATAAGACAAAGATCGAGAATATCTTCATAACGATCCTGAGCAAACACAACCTGAAATGGGCAACATGGATCAAATCAAACTACAATGCAGTCAAATGAAAAAGAAAGAAGTCCATTTGGAGTGTGCACTGAGCAGATTACCAATTTAAATCATGAAATTGAAGGAGGATGAATGAGGTGATTGCAAGGTGACATCTTTCCAGACTCTGTTAGATCTGTGTGTTTGTAGTTGCACAATGATCTTATGAATAGCTCACCATGTGCAATTTATATGACAGTTACAATTTTAACACACCCCCAGATTCATTTGCAAAATCAGCAGGCTAGATTCATGTTTGGATAGGTAAAAGGAAAGTGCAGAACATATGCTTCAGTCTGCTTCAGAAACTTTCAGTGTCAGCCTTATTTGAATAATTTTATTAATCTCCCAAACCATTTCAACTTACTTAATACAGGGATGTTAACAAAGATACATAAGGAAACTCCAAACGTATGTGGATGTATAATGAGGGAAGAAACGTGTACTCTTCAAAAAGGCTGTAAATGTTTCCAGTGATTATTACAGCCTTCTCAAAGGCTGTTTTCAGCAGATTGCATAGCTCTAATGGATATTTCAGAATATACAGTATATACAATCCAAAGGACAGACCCATGATTCACAGTTAACTAGAAAGGTTAGAGAAGATACCAAACTTATACTGGTACTGAGTGCATTGTTGGTCTTATGGGTGAAAAGTGCCTGGCTCATAATGAACTTCATCCTAAAGTCCCAGAAGAAGTGGCTAATGGAATCGTTGATGCATTGATTCCAATTTTCCAGAACGCCCTTGATTCAAAGAAAGGATCCATTAAATTGGGTGATGGCAAATGTAACTCCTTTATTCAAAAAGGGAGGGAGATAGAAAGCAGTAAACCACAGGTCAATTAGGTTAACATCTAGAAGCTATTGTTAAAGTAGCTACTGTAGGGTACTTACACACGTTCGAAGGTAATCAGGCAGGATTGTTGTAGTTTGTGAAAGGGAAATCATGTTTAATTAATTGGAGTTCTTTGAGGAAGTAAGATGCACTTTGGATAAATGGGAACTGGAAAATCTATTGTACTTAGATTTCGAAGGCATTTGATGAAGTGTCCCATTGAAGGTTACTGCAGAGAATAAAACTCAGGGAATAGGGGTACAACATTGGCAAGGATAGAAGACTGGCTAATAGGAAGCAAACAGTATGCACAATGGGTCTTTTCCAGGTTGACATCAACAAGTGATGTGCCACAGGGATCAGGGCTAGGACCTTAATTTTTTGTATCTTATAAATGACATAGATGAAGGGATGGAATGTGTGGTTGCCAAATTTGCTGACAACAGAAAGATAGGTAGGGATTTAGCTTTGAAGACATAAGGAGGCTACAAAAGGATCTAGGTTAAGTGAGTAGGCAAAGATCAACTAAATGGAGCATAATGTGGGAAAATGTGCAATTGTTCATTTTAGCAGGAAAACTAAAAAAGCACATTATCTAAATGGTAAGAGATTGCAGAGCTCTGAGATGCAAAGGGATCTGGGTGCCCCAGTGCATGATTCACAATATGCAGGTACAGCGAGTCATTATCAAATCTAATAGAATGTTATATGTAATATATAATAACTCAGTAATCCAAACTGGAAAGGAACATCATTTATTGTTGAACACCAAAACTGACCCACTACTCATGGCATACACAGGCTCGTCCCAGCCTGGAACTGACAGTTCTGCAGACCGATCCCTGGATCTTTTTCTTAAATATAAATATATCAACCTTTTCAGAAATGTTATCACACATCTCTGGAGCAGGCAGGACTTGAACCCAGGTCTCCTGACTGAGAAATAGGGACGCTATCCTTGTGCTACAAGAGGTTTATGTTCTGGGTCTGCTTTCTTTTTCTTTTTATACCTGGGAGTGTTTTTTAAAATTATTTTCCTAATAAACCTATTCAGGACGTTAGTACACCCCTCTGGAGCAGTTGAGACTTGAACCTTGCCCTACTTGTCCATTGGCAGGGACAATTATCACACACAACAGAAAGACTTTCCCACCACCAAATCACCATGACTTTGTTTTCTTAACCATGGTTACTCATGTCCCAGGGTATTAGCTGGACGTCTGGATTACTAATCCAGTGATATAACTACTATGCCATCACCTCCAGTGTGTCTGCTTTATCTAACTTTTTTCCTACCCAGAAGTGCTATCATTCACAACTGAGCGACTTACTCACCACCAAAATCACTGTGACTTTTTTTTTGTGTACGACAAACTACCACCAGTAATCACCCATGTAGCGTCACAGAGATGTACAGCATTGAAACGGACCCTTCGGTCTAACTCGTCCATGCCGACCAGAGATACTAAATAAATCTGGTCCCATTTGCCAGCATTTGGCCCATATCCCTCTAAATCCTTCCTGTTCATACACCCATCCAGATGCTGTTTAAATGTTGTACCAGCCTCCACCACTTCCTCCGGCAGCTCATTCTGTACATGCACCACCCTGTGCGTGAAAATGTTGCCCCTCAGGTCCCTTTTAAATCTTTCCCCTCTCACCTTAAACCTTTGCCCTCTAGTTTTGGGCTCCCCTACTCTGGGGAAAACTACCCTGACCTATCACCCTATCCATGCCCCTCATGATTTTATAAACCACTAGAAGATCACCCCTCGGCCTCTGACGCTCCAGGAAAAATAGTCCCAGCCTATTCAGCTTCTCCCTATGGCTCAAGACTTCCAGCCCCGGCAACATCCTTGTAAATCTTTCCTGAACCCTTATAAATAAAGCCCAATATGGGCAATGCAAATCATCCAAGTGAGCGAGGGCTAGGTAGAGCGGGAAGGGGCCAAAACAACCTGTTCAGAGATGTTATTACACACCTCTGCAGCAGGCAGGACTTGAACCCAGACCTTCAGGTCCAGGGGTAGGGACACTACCACTGCACACAAAAAAGGTCCTTCTCACAGTCCAGAACAAAGGACTCAGGTAATGAGTTCTGGCTGGGCAGGTCATTGCCTGTTACGAAGGGAATGCATACTCAATGCACCCCATAAGGAGAATAATTAGTGATTTCCCATGGACCTTGGAGGGGTTATCACTATTATTTATTGCAAGGGGAAGTTAAGACGATAGGGGTGTTATGCTTCAATCATACAAGACACTGCTGAGATAGTGGGTACTGGCTACAGTATTGGTAACCTTATTTAAGAAATTATGTCAATGCATTGCAAACAATTCAGTGAAAGTCTCCTCGATGAGTACGTGGAATTGGGTGGGCTGTCTTAGGACAAATCGTTGGACAGGCTAAGCTGATATCTGGAGTTTAGAATAGATGACTTGACTGAAACATACAAGATCCTCGTGGGTTTTGACAGGCTGCATGTGGAAAGGACGTTTCCTCTTATCAGAGGATGAAGAACTAGGAGCCACTGTTTAAAAATCAAAGGCTGCCCTTTCGAAACAGAGATGAAGCAAAATATTTCTTACAGAATATTGCAAGTCTCTGGAATTCTTCCCGAAAACGTGGTGGAAACAGAGTCCTTGCACGGGTCTAAGACAGCAATTGATAAGTGTGGGATTGTGAATTTGAGTTTACAATCAGATGAGCCATGATCTTATTAAATGGCAGAATAGGATCAAAGAGCCAAGCGGCCTACTCCTCCTTGTTTGTGTATTCTTGCTGATGCCCAAGTTTTTGGTCAGGGAGTGTGGCCAGCAGGATCACAGTCATTACAAATGTGGTGCCTGCAGAGCACCCCTTTTATTCTTTCTTTCAACCACACATCGAGGTAGCAACAATTTGCTGAAGGGCACTAGACATAGCTTTCATTTCGATACTGCAGTCTAAGGTAGTGACAATGAGACTTGGCAGCTGCTACTGTCTTTAAAGGTCATTTCAATCAACCAAACATGACAAGACTTTGAGTGCAGCTTCTCTTCGATCGGGGAACAGTGAGAGTCATCTGCTTTTCATAACATAAATATTGGTGCTGCAGCCTATCCCAGAGAGCTCAGGAAAATTCACAGAATAATTGCTGAAAAATATTCATACAGCTAAAAGCTGCAAGTTAGTTTCGAGTCTAACTATTACATACAGCAAAAAAAAACATTTTGGAACAGAACCGGTCACAGCATGTGACGGATTTTGTGTATGCATTGTGAAGGAGGTGGATCTAGAATTGGCTTGGCTTAAGGTCTTTTATTTTTGGCTTTTCTGGCAACTGAAAGGACAAGAGAGACATGGTAATGTGATCCACCAAAAAATTAGGTACTCAAAACATGAAAAATATTTCATAATAGCAAATATTATTTAATGAAACTATGCATTTAAGATATTTTGAAAAAATAATTTATCCCATTAAACTGGGAATATATAAAGTTTGTTTTTAATGCTTGGTTTTCATGGGTGAAAGCTTCACCTAGTTGATACTTCCCAGCAACAGAAAAAAAATATGTTCAATGCTTATGCATTTAGACTACCAATTAAAACAACTAGAAATAACACACAATATCATACAGTTTAAGCAGTAAACCCAGAAGGACTTATTGTCAGTACTGTGGAAGTCTAGCTGCCCTAATTAGCTGTACATACACCCCTAAATTTTGTGTGAAGTAGAAAATCAATCCTAAAATCTGCATCTGATTTTTCAGGAAAAGGCTGTTTTAAAATCTCCTCTTTCCTTTTCCATTTCTTGAGATTTCATGCTATCTTTGGGGATGGGCACAAGATTTATCAGGTCTTTGACAGTTGTTCTGATAAGTATTCAGCAAGTTCACTCCCAATATGGAAGTTGTGAATCTGTTTACTGTTGTACTATGACAGCATAGCTGAGATGGTTGATCTGCCACAGTCAACACTTATGAGTCCCCATCCTAATGGGGTTTTGGAGCTCAGAAGTATGAAAAATCCACATCACATAGGAAGCATTAAAAAAATGAAGAGACAGACTGTTCTATTATAATCCACCAGCGCTGACCTAAACCATCAATCTTTACAAATAATGCCCTAAACACAACAATGGGTTAGTGCTT